CAACAGGCAGCTGCAAATTTGCTCACCAGCTGTTTAAGTTGTTCAATGCAATCCAAAAATATCCCTGATTGGTTCACAGTATGACCATGAGTATCGAAAAATTCATTTGTTGAACAGTTTCACTGATAAATTCGTGGTAGCCCTAGAACTGTGTAATGACATGGCCCTCTTTCTGGAAATCTCAACTGCACCATCTTTCCTCCATCCAGCCCCAGGATGTTGCAACCGAAGGAAAAGGTGTCCCAACACAGCCTACCAAACATTGGGAGATTTGGGGGCAGTGCTTGGGGAGAACAGAATTTGGGGAAGATGTAATGTCACTTTCAGGATATGTTCTAGGCTGCCTCCCCTAGTCCTTATGTTTTTTACCATAGAGACTAGTGGAAATTCTTAGAGCTTCACTATTTGGAGGCCATTTTTTTCTTCTGTCCTTCAGTTCCTCAGGGGCGGGAAATGTGAACTGGGAACAAGTAATTCCAGGTGGGCATATGTGAGGCCTAATAAATATAGTCCATGGAATAGACTCAAATAAGCTGAAGAATGACATTTCCTATTCTACCTACTGCCTAAGACACATCATTAGATGCTAGAAAGATCAGGGACATGGGAGAAAGGGAAGATGAGACCTTCGCAGAGTGATATTTCTTCTTCCATCACCCTGCTGCCACCAAATACATTAGGGGTAAATTAACCAAACCTAATTTATTTTATAAGTTTTATATACATTTCTCATTTCTATTAGAATAGAGACATTTTTGCCTGCCATGAACACAACACACATCTGCTAACAGAACCCTAAACCTGCTCATAACTTAGCCTATTACTCTTTTTTTTGCTTCTGCTAATAAGGTTGTTTAGAAAATAATATTAAGCCAGTTCTGATATGCAAATATAATACATCTAGTTTATATCATTCAAAGGACAGAGTCTGATTTAAAGTTTTAGATTTCCCTAACATTTCCAAATTTTGAGTGTACTACTACTTACATTTTACCATACAGTCCTAAACAGATCTATCACCTTCTATTCCCATTGATTTAATGGACAGAAGGGTATAACTGCTTAAGACTGGAAAGACCCAACACTTTTGCAGATCTAATTCTAGAAACCTGTATACCTAGGGGCAAAGCACCTGTATACCTAGGGGCAAAGCACCTCTCTACTGAATTCAGTGACTGAGTTTTAGTCCTGGAATTTTAATGTCAGGAACAGATCCTTTTGCAAATATTGTAGTACATGGTACTCCCAATGCAAAAAAAGTGCAAGTTTACTTGCTGTTTATACGGGCTTAACTGAACCCCAACAGACAATGACTGCATTCAGACATCAAACTGGGGTTATTAAGCATTATTTGCATAACTGTTTTTTATGACATTTGAACAGAGAAATCCTAGTGTGTACAGTAGGTCACTCCTCTTAGCCTTCCCCTTACAAAGAAGTAGAAGAAGGAGGAGGAGGAGGAGGAGGAGGAGAAGCAGCAGCAGCAGCAGCAGCAGCACAGAACAGAACAGAACAGCAAAAAAAATCCTAGCTGGTCTAACAGCATGTTTGTTTGTTTATTTATTTATTATTTGTTTATGGAATTTATATATAGCCTCTCCAAAGTCCTGCCTGAGGTGGCTTACAAGTTTTAAAAAAGCATAAAAATCATTCAAACATCATAGATTATCAATATGCCATCAAACTAAAGCTATTAAAATAGCATAAAACAACCACTGACATACACCCCTGCCATAAAACAGATCTCAGACCAGAAGCTGACCATGAAATAGCTAAAAACGATAAAACTTCTTAGTTACAAGTTGGGTAAAAAAAACAAACTGTTTTGGCCTGGGACCTAAAAGACTGTACCACACGAGCCCTGAGGGCATTCTAAAGGGATGTATTGTGTGTCTGGTATGCATCTATCATTAAGATTGTAGCTTAGAGGTAGAGTCCATGTTCTTTGTGTTAATTTTCAATTCAAGTCCCCGCCATGTCTAATTAAAATGTTCTCTAGTGGCCAGAATGGGAATATTTGTTTACATTTGACCTTTGAAAGTTTCTACCAGTTGGAATAGACAGTAATAAGTAATATAAAGCAGTTTTATATGTTCACAGAAATCTATGCTATGAAAACTGCACATGTGAAGTTATGATACATGCCGCAGACATAAAACAGCAGTGGCAGCAAGCAGGAAGGCATATTTTATGGGGAAGTGGCAACAAACCAATGAACTCCTTAAATATAGAATTATTCATGGAAATTATGTTTTTCCTGCTGGAATGAGGGGGTTCAGCTCGACCCTTCCTCAGCTGTAAAAGAACTAGTCAACAACAACAGCAACAACAACAAGCTATGAAAAGCAGAGAGGAATGTTAAAACATATTTGTGCTGAAGCTATGAAGTAGTTTGTCAAAGTGTAGTGTTAAGACTATAGTCTTTAAAGATCTGGTCTAAAATACAAAATTAAAAATAAAAATGTGTGCAATGAAGAAAAGTGAGGTACATTTAATAGCAATAATCTCTGGATATTTTTAGCCTACAAATTTGGTACCAGCTAGAGCTTTCTGATTAATATACTTAAGGAGGCATGCTGTGAATAGTGCATGGCATTATTCTTACTGCATGCTTAAATTATGCAAAAAAAAGTGTTTACTCTACTAAATCCAGAGGATTAACCCCTAGGATACTTACTGACTAATCCAAAAGGGTAAACAGTTTTTTAAAAGTGCAACCATACATATAGGGACGGCATTTGTGTTTAAAGTGGGAATTTGTGATTGGGATGCTGTTGGAAATCCTAACACAAAGCCATAGATGGAAACCATTAAGGCCAAGGATTTCAGCTAAACAGGCTACTCTGCCTACTTCACTATTATTTATATACTGGATTTAAGCAGATTCAAGTGACCATATTCATTTAATATTAGACAGAAATGTCTACATTTTCTGCCCATCTAAATGTGAAATTTTGTCTGATTCCTTTTTTACCATTCCCCAAATGATATTATTGTATATATTTTTCTGACTCTTCTGTTTTGTCATAGAATTGTAATATGTTAACATGTTTTAGATGTTTTCAGCTCTATTTTATGATATGGCAGTGATTGCTTATATTATCTGCAGCCACTTAGATCATTTTATCTTTTTAACCTAGGTCTCCTCATATTTTCATTGATATGTGTTTTAGTAACTGGGTTGTGAACTGCCTCTGGCATTTTTAAACCAGAAGTGCAGGATATAAATATTTTAAATAAATACATGTTCATCCCACCCAAGCCCTGTATTTACAGTGCAATCATATACAGAGTTACTCCTGTCTAAACCTAATGGAATCAAGGGATGCAGAGTAGATTGGATTGTATTGCCAGCCAGGTAATATTGGATTTAAAAAAAAAAGGTTTCTCAACCTAGACAACACAAACACATGCTAGGGACTGTGGAGACTCTCAATAGGACGGTGGAGATTCATGCTGTAAGCAGTTGTATACATCATGGCCAACCAAGGGAACAAAACACCACGAAGGCTTCCCCCCCCACAGCAGGATATTGGTGGTGACAAGCAGGGGTCATTTCGTAGAAAAAGAGGTGCAGGAGCTCATTAGCATAACTCATTAGCATAACTCATTTGCATATGCCACACCCCCTGACATCACCGGAAGTGTGTCAGAAGGCAACACCCACTACTCAGGCTCCACTGGCCTGTTTTGGATTGCTAGCTATTGGGGTGTGTGTGTGCAGATCTGTCCTTGCAGAGGAGGGAGAGCTTGTACCTGAATAAAACTTGGTCTTAAAGGTGCCACTGGACTGTTTTGGACTGGGGGGCCAGGGGAAGCTCTGCAACTTACCTGGCTGCTTCTTGCTCTGACTGAGGGCTGCTGGGAGTAGGCGGTGGGGCTTGTTGCATGTGCCCGCCCTCTGGGCTCTTTACTGCCGGAGCTCCGCTCCTGTGCGCTCCTGCAGGAAATGACCCCTGGTGACAAGTGTAATGTCTACTCCAGCTCTGAGCTAAGGGTTTGAAACTTTGTATAAGACCCAAAAGACATCCTGAGCTTACTGGGGGTAAGATTTACAGCCTTTTGGAGACTAAATTCCATGAGCACCTAAGTCAACATTCCCCCCCCCCCCGTGGATGTCAATGGATTTATTTCCATGAACAAAAACAGAAAATATTAATAGAGAGTAGTTCTAGTTTTTACTTATTTGGTCACATTATGAGAAGTAGGGTTGCCAGGTCTGGGCTGGAAAATACATGGGAGACTTTTGGGGTGGAGCCAGGAGAGGGCGGGGTTTGGGGACGGGAGGGGCCTCAGCATAGTACAATGCCATAGAGTCCACCCTTCAAAACAGCCATTTTCTCCTGGTAAGCTGATCTTTGTCAGCTGGAGATCAGTTGTAAAAGTGGGAGATCCCCAGGCCCCACCTGGAGGCCGGCAGCCCTAATAAGATGCCAAGATTCACTGGAAAGGATTATAATGCTGAAAAAGCTGAAGGCAGTAGGAAAAGACCCAATGTGAGATGGATTGACTCAATAAACAAAGCTACAACCTTCAGTTTGCAAGACTTGAGCAAGGTTGTCAATGATAGGGCATTTTAGAGGTAATTAATTCATAGGGTCACCATAAGTCGGAAGACTTGTGGCACATAACAGACACGTATGACTCTATGGCAGAGCATATGCTATTTATGTCCAGGTTAAGTTCCTGATGGGTTGCGGTAGCTCAAGTGGTTAAGAGATTGAACTGCAGACCGGAAGGTCAGTAGTTCAGCAGTTTGAGACTCGAGTGCCGCATGACGGAGTGAGTTTCCTTCTCTGGTCCCAGTCAGGACCGGCCTGAGGTGTTCCTGCGCCCTAGGCGAGCGCAGATGCTTACTTCCCGGTGGGGCCTGGAGACCTCCCAGCTGACGTGTGGCGCCTCAGGATGGAGCCCGAGCTGATGGAGCGGCCGGCGCGGAGGGAGGGAGTGTGGCGGAGGGAACACCGGCGGGCAGCCCCATCCCGGTCCCATCTTCTTACCTGCGGCGCCCAGCAGCAGCACCACCATCGGGGCGAGCAGCAGTGGCAAGAGGTGGCTGCCCATCCTGCGTGCCCCACTGCTGCCACCCCGGCCGCCCAGCCCCATTGCCACCTCTGCACACAGCCAGGAGCGCCCGCCCACCCCCCTCCACCCAGCCAGCACAATCTGGGGAAAGGCTGCTGCTGCTGCTGCTTGGGCAGCCTCTCTGAGGCCAGGTGAGAAGTCAGCTCTGAGGCCCCCCTGGGGCACCGACTGTGGCACGGGAGGGAGGGAAGGGAGGCAGGAAGATGGGTGGGCAGGCACGGGAGGCAGAGCAGAGGCCTCGGAGGGTGGACCTTGGTGCTTCCTGGCAGTGCCATGCCGCCGCTGGCTGGCTGGAGGGGGTGCCGCGGCACCTGGCTCCATGGAGAGGGTGCTCCTCTGGCTCCTAGTGCCGGGAGCGTGCCAGGCTCCTGCAGGCCGCCTCTGCCTCTCCTCCCATGCCCTAAGGGCCGGCCCATGCTCTAGGCTAATGCCTAGTTCGCCTAGCGGGTGAGCTGGCCCTGGTCCCAGCTCCTGCCAACCTAGCGGTTCGAAAGCAAGAAATTGCAACTAGATAAACAGGTACCGCTTTGGTGGGAAGGTAACAATGCTCCAAGAGCCTCGGTGTCTACCTTTATTTAAGTTCCTGACATATCCAGTTATAGGATCTCAGGCTGCAGGTGTGGGGGGAAACCTTTTAACTGTGAGAGGCACTGCCTGTTAGAATACAGAATACTGAACTAGATGGACCAGTGATCTATCTTGGCTCAAGGCAGGTTGAAATGTTCATATATATATGGTATGTATATGGTGTGTTATTCCAAGGATAAACAGCAGCTGGCTAAAAACCCAAAGGAGAAAAGCAAAAAAGAAGGCCAGCATTTTCCAGTTTTGAAAGTGGGGATTTTGCATTGAATGGGAAAGGAGTTCTCCTACTCAGATTCTTATGGTTCAACATACATATGGTACTAAAAGAGAGATAGTCTTGATGAAATCTTCTAGTGATTTGCAGCCTGAATGCTCCTCATTTATAAATGAGGAGCATTCAGGCTGCAAGCCACAATATTCCCACATGATATTGTTATGTGTACCAATAATTACCATAATTATGGAAAAAGCAGATTCCGAATAGCCATTTTTGCACTCCAGGCACAAATGGGATACTCACCAAATGCTTCACCATTGTCTCAACTGATTACACTCTGATTACATTTGATATTGGATGGCAGATAAAAAAGCCACATGATGCAAAGTTCGGGTACTTTAGTGTACAGAAGTGACCCATAAAAGTCTTGAAATCATATCTGAAGGGCAAGAGTTACTCACAATTCAAATGCACGACAACTGGTTTGTGGGAGACTTCTCTGGAGTATTGTAACTCAAGCTTGCAAAGATGGGATCATAACCTTGCAACACTATCTCACGGCTATACACATGTGATCAAGTTGCAATTATTCCATGAAATCATATAGGAAAAATGATACAAAGTTCGGGTACTTTAGTGTACAGAAGTGACCCATAAAAGTCTTGAAATCATATCTGAAGAGCAAGAGTTACACACAATTCAAATGCATGACAACTGGTTTGTGGGAGACTTCTCTGGAGTATTGTAACTCAAGCTTGCAAAGATGGGATCATAACCTTGCAACACTATCTCACGGCTATACACATGTGATCAAGTTGCAATTATTCCATGAAATCATATAGGAAAAATGATAACCCTGATTAGACTAAAGAAGCTGGGGACCTGCAAGGACTTGCCAGAGGCATCTCATTTTCCCCTCTCCCACTATTTCCCCTCTCCCTTCCCTGACAGGTGGAATAGATTTCTCTCTTTTCCTCTTTCCTTCTCTCCTTACCACCCAGTAGTAAACCTATTTTTATCTGCCCCTCCAGCCTCAGTCTTCTTTTCTTCCCTACCTCTACCTGGCAGCCTCTCCCTGAGAAAGGTCTGGCTAGGTTGCACAGTGCCAGATAAGCTGGGCCCAGCTGCACAGTGGGAAACCTGCAAGGAGTTGTAGGTATCTCACTTTCCCCTGTAACCCCTCCCCACATGATTTCCTCTTTTGTTTCTCCTGGCAACCACCATATCCTCACTTTCCTCTGCTTCCTTCTCTCCTTTGCACCCATCAATCAACTTACCTTTTATCTACCCCATCTCCAAATATATTCATTATTTATTTACTTCACTATTGTCCACAATAGGGACCTAAAACTGCTTACATCATTGTCTTCTCCTCCATTTTATCCTCACACCAATCCGGTGAGGTAGGTTAGGCTGAGTGTGTGTGACTGGCCAAAAGTCACCCAGTGAACTTTCAAAGCACAGTGGAGATTTGTACAGTCTGGCTGAATCGGGGTGACTGCTGCTGAATACTAGCAAGCAGCCAGGCCTGGTTGAGTCATGCAAGTCATATGGTAGTAAGTCACTTGGTGGTTGTTGCTGAACCTGGAACCAATGAGTCCTCCCTCAAAGGTCAAAAATCCAGAGTTACCTCCTACATTCACAAATCCACAAGTTACATCCCCAGTGGTAACTTCTATATTCATAGATCCAGAGGTTACAGTCCTGGCAATACCCTTTCATGTTTCTAGATCCAGAGATCACAATGCCAGTGATACCTTCTATGCTCATACCCGGTGACTGCAATCCCAGTATTATTAGATATAAACTAACTCCCTGGCTACAAGAAGTATTAGGATTGGAGGTCAGTATACTTCAAGCATAGTTTTAGCAAAAGAAAATACTAGTAGAAATGAATTGATTTCACATATTTAGAAATAAAAATAGAAAAACATAAATGCAATTTAGTTCTTCTAACTGAAGAAAATAGAAGTGGACTTTACAAAATGAGAAACACGATTGCTCACACTTGGGAGAAAAATAAACATATATAATAGTGCTGATTGTTTATTCTTTTGCTTCACTGGCTCCTTCTAGGGACTGATTGCACAGGCAGGAAAAGCATAACATGCAGCAATGTAGGAGAAAAATGAGTAAAATTTTGTGAATAATGGCAAATATAGACAGCCAGGTACAATGGCTGTGTGAAATAACCATTTTGCATTCAAGTTCTGGGAGGAGGGGATTCTTTAACTTGTCACTTTAAAAAAGCCTAAGAATTAACAGTGTCCCCCAGACAACTTGTAGGAGATAGGGGTTCCAGAAAATCATCACATTGTTAAACTTCATTATAGACTTTTCCCTGATTTTAAAGAGGGTGGTGCTGTTTGGTGGGCAGCAGCAGCCAGAAGGAAACTCAGATGTAGTGGCAATAGAAATTCCAATATTATCAAGTTGCAGAAGGTTGAGCAAGAACAAAATTCATAATCAAGAACTTGACAGCAGAAGTAATGTGAATGGTTTGGCAGTTGGCGATCTGCCACTTACAAACATTATGTGCGCCCTCTTCCCTTATTATAAATTACTGTTTGCAATGCTGTTTGCGCTGTTGGGTTCTGGAATTCACTGTCGTTTCTTCCTAGGAGCTGTGTTTTGTGGCAGGAGACAGATTCTCATCTCCGGCCACAGCTACATCTTCTGGGCGTCTCATCGGGCCAGTCGATCGGCCACTGGCTCACAACTGGGCCTCAGCCAGTGGGCTACGGTTGAGTGGAGGGGGCGCCGGGGCCTACGTTGGCCGGGCCTCCTTCCTCTTCTGTTCAAGGACAGTTCAGTCATGCCGCCAGATGTGTTGGTTATCCACCTGGGAGGTAACGATTTGGGATTCCTGAAAGGGAAGGCCCTTGTGTGGCAAGCCAGGGATGATCTGGAGTGCATTAAGCGCCAATGGCCAGACATAGTAATTGTGTGGTCGGCCATGATTCCATGCCTGGTATGGCGTAGCACTTGGGACCCCAAGGGGATTGAGACGGCTCGGCGTAAGGCCAATGGGGAGCTTTATAAAATTTTAAAGGTTGGATTGGGCCACTACTTGCCTCACCCCCAGATTTGGCTTGATTTTCCGGACCTGTACAGAGGGGATGGCGTGCACCTTTCCGAGAAGGGAAATGACATCTTCCTTCAGGATTTGTGGCAAGGGCTTAAGCTAATTTTAGGTATTTGAGTGGGCGCAGGGGCCTAAGCAGAGGCTTTCCCCTTGCAGAGGCAGAATTGGGTTTAAATAAAGTTCAGCGGCTCGTAAGCACCTATTAATAACACCTGGGGGGGTAGAGGGGTCTGCAGGATCAACCCTGCAGCCATGCTGCCGGGGATGAGGCTTGCAGACTGCCTATGGGGATGGCCACGATGGAGACTCAGCACTGGCCGTGCGGTGGTGTTTGAGGGCTCCTGAAGGCGCATCCCAATCATTGGCTCGGCTGGGTTTGTAAGCAACTTACAGTTGGCTCCAACCCGGGGCCGTGGTGTCTTGCCGTTTATACGGTTAAGAATGGGGGTCAAAGCGACACCAGGCCTTGCCGTGCCGCTGTTTTCATGTTTGCCCTTTGCTGTTAAGTTAATGTTTTAATAAAGTGGCCTTATTTCATTCAACCTTGTTGTCTGACTATTTCTTCCGTCTGGGGGGGCAAACAACTTTGTGTCTGTTCAGCTGTGGTGATAAAGTTGCATTTCCTTCTCCTGTGTGACCAATTTTGCATCTGTGCAGTAGGTGGGACTGAGTATCTCCCAGTGTCATGGAAAACTGGGTCAGGTAATTTATGGGGAGGAGCACTACATCTCCCATAAAGCAAAGTGTTGCAAAGAGAGAGAAACTAAGATTCCCATTGTTCCTCTTACAGAACTCAGTTCAGCTTTCACTGAAGTCAACTGGAGACTTTGCTGTGAATTTCAAGATGGAAAACTCCAACCATTTATTTTGCACATGTTTAATACTATCATCTGCCTCAAGGCACAAGACACAAATCAAACCATCAGATGCACTTGGCTAGCTCCCAATGACTTATGTGTCATAGTACCTCAGGATTTCAGGAGACAGTTAAGAAAGGAAAATGCCATATTGAAGAAAGGCAGAAACTTCATTAAGAAGGTATAAAACTGTATAGAC